GCGTGTGTGTGTGTGTGTGTATATATATAATATTATATATATATATACATATATATATATATGCTGTCTGTCTGTATGTATGTATGCCTCAAGCCCTACCCCGTTTGTGCCGCGAGCCATACGGAGATTCGGAGTCTCAGAGCTTTAACGCCAAGTTCACCCGACCTGCACTGAAGATGCCATTAGCCAGCGACCCCCAAGATGCCAAAGCCTTGGTGTAGTTAGTTGAGGGTTCAGAGTTTAGGGTTTCGGGTATAGGGCTTAGTACTTAGGAGTTAGGGTTTAGAGTGTAGGGTTTATAGGGTTTAGAGTTTAGGGTTTGGGGTTTAGTGTTTAGGGTTTAGGGTAGTGTCGTTGCCGCAGTCATCCGCAATCAGGCCCATCTGCGCCGACCTTCGGCTGTCCTCGCGAGAGCCCTGGAGAAGCGCTCGCTTGTAAGGTCTCAGATGATCTGGCTTAGGGATTTAGGGTTTGGGGGTTTAGGGGTTTGGGGGTTTAGCGCTTTAGGAGTTTAGGGCTTTAGGGGTTTAGGGTTGTTCAGGAATCTGCAATCTAAAGGCCACTGCAAACCTAAATATTTACCATGTTCTCCTTAGGGTGCCTTTTTATGAGTATACTGCAATGTACCCCGAGAACCTATTCTGATTAAGGCCCTCTCAACACTCTGTGGGTAGAACCCTCATGGACCCCGTTTTGAGCAACCCTTTGAACCCTAAACCCTAAACCCTAGAATGAACCACAAACACTCCGCCGTACGTGGGCTTGTGAGTGTTTGTGACATGGTCCATGATTGGTATCCAGCCAGATGACAGCCCCAAGCCGGATATAATGAGCTTTTAAGCAACAGCCTTCAATAAAGGTGGTGATAGTCGACAGAGAAGCCATGCTCCCTCACAAGCCTTGAGGACGAAACCGGGACAAGGTCAACTTTAGGCTTAATGGGCGTTAGGGTCTCGGCACGAGAATTATGCATAGCCATCAGAATTTTGAGCTTTCGGTGTGTTCTTACACATGTCTCTGTCGAGAAAAGTTTCGGTACATCCCTTATGGCCAGCAAAACCCCATCGCTGTTTGAAAGGCCTCCGAGGACAGACCAACTTAAGTCTCGAGGTTACCAGGATGCTACAGCTACAACGGTATAACTCAGAGTTGAGGGTACCAGGCTTTAGGGAACCCTTGATGCCCACCATCGGCACGCAAACTCTAACGCAAAAATGCACGACCCCAATCCGAAATTCCTCCCGACTCCGAGACCTTGAAAGTTTAGACCCCTGAAAGCTCTAGTGTTGAAAAACCTGCCTAAGCCTCCAACGTGCACTTTTTGTTCAGAGCACTTTGCTGGTATCTCGTTGCGATACGTTTCGCGGTTAAAGTATAGGAATAACTAATGCCTTTTCTGTTGTATCATTGCCTTCTTCGCATTCCAACGGCTCTGTAGTATAGGCGCCTTAATAATTACCTACACTATTTTGGGGGGCTCCGTATTATAAAAACAGTAGAAAAGACCCCAAAACCTTATTCCAATTATTAAGGCCCCCAGACCCTAAACCCTTATAGTAGCCCATATAGAACCCAAAAAAGGAACCCCCAAACCCTGTTCGAATTATTAAGGCCCCATCATTACCCCCCCCTTTGAGGCCAGTCTTTCTGTCTTTCACGGAGCTGTCCCTGACTTTTCCGGAGATCCGCCTTGCGCGCGTAACCACCACCAACTTTGTGTTGGGGCAGGAGCACCGAACATCCCTTAAGGGTTTAGGGGTTCAGGGTTTAGGGAAAAGTTAGAAGTACAGGGTTTTGGAGGATCTTTTGAGGGTTTCTGTTCTCTGAACAGCCCAAAATACGCAAGGGGTCGGAAGTAACAGTGTTTCCGACAAGGGGTTTGTACAAGGGTTTCCAAGATTTGGGGAATAATTGCCAACAGAATACACACATCTGTGTGTTCTCGTAATGCTTACATGTGTGTGTGTCCCCGCGTCTTATGCACATATGTGTCTGCTCTCGGTGCAGAACGCATACATATGTGTGTGTGCCGATAAAACATTCTGTGATCCAAACACACACATATGTGTGTTCTCGAAACGCCTACATGTGTCTGTTCCCACAACATATGGGTGTTTTACACATAAGTGTGCTCGCGTATGTGTGTGCCGCTAAAACATGGGTGTTCTCGTCGCACACATGTCTATCTTCGGCATTCACATGTGTGTTCTCCGAACACACATGTCTGTGCTCCAAACACACACACACATATGTCTGTACTCCGACAACATACTTGTTCGACAACTCGGAAGTGTTCGCGGGACACACATATGTGTCTGGAAAACACGTGTGTTCTCGGAACGCACGACGTGTGAATGGCCAAATGCAGGCATGGCAATGGAGAAGGGCCCCTGGCCACAACAGGATGTGCTCGGAGTCAATGACCTCACGGGTGAGGCTCCGGGCGGTCTGGAGAGCGCGGGCCTTAAACACCATGCTCGGCCCCCACCGGGGTTGCTTCGGCACAGGTGGGTGGTGTCAACAGCGAAGCGGAGAAGGCGCCCGACTGTTAGGTGCTTAAAGGGGGGGTCATCAGTAACCCCTCACCTCCTAGGAAGCTTCGCGCAGGTGGGGGGGGCGCCTGGGAGTAGGACCGGGTAATGGCCTGCTCCGAACCCCACAGACCCGGGGTGCCTGGGAGTAGAACCTTTAATTGCGTGGGTAATGGTCCTGCTCCGAAACCCTACCAACCCCCGTCATGGGGGTCCAGAAGCACAGAACTCTCGCCAATTTTCTACGGCTGCGCTGCGTCCGTCATAAAACTCTCGTCCGGTGTCTCCGCGCTGATTGTTTTTTGGGTTTAGGATGTAAGGACAGGACCCAAAAGGCCGGAACACTTGATTTTCAGGCGAGAGTCCTATGCCAAATCGCAGTGCTCGGGACAGTCAAGGGCACCCAAAAAGTAGCTCACGGATTTGAGCTGTGCCGCAGGCACGCGCTGATTGTGTCTTGGGTCTAGGATGTAAGGACAGGACCCAAAATGCCGGAACACTTGATTTTCAGGCGAGAGTCCTATGCCAAATCGCAGTGCTCGGGACAGGAAGGGGCACCCATGGTGCATGGAGAAACAGGAAGGATTTGAAAAAAGTAGATCACGGATTTGATCTGTGCCGCAGGCACGTTGCCGGACCGAAGAGTACTTGGCATGCTGCACCACTGTAACTGTCGTGCCGGCAGAATTTGGGCACGTACTGCAGTTGGATTGACTCCTATGTGTGGCTTTGCTTGCTCACCAGTGTGCTTACGTAGCTGTGGCGTGCACATAAGCTCTCAGAAGCGGACACCAGCATGGCCGTCATCGCCGAGGTTCTTGCTGCAACAGATTTCTTCGCTGTTTTGGGAGCCGTGCCAGCTTTGGTGGAGGATGCCACAATACAGGATCGCCAAAGTCGAGTGCTCCAGGCTTGCGCCGAACCCGGACACTGCAGGTCCACCCGGACAAAATCGGCGATTTGCCGGGTGCTCCTGAAGCAACAGCCCGGGTAGCGGAAGCCTGGGAAGTCCTGGGCAGCGACAGTGACCGCCAAAGCTATTTGGAGCGGTTGCGCACGGAACTGGCTCAGGAAGCCAAGTCTCAAAAGGTCCATCGCTGCGGCAAGGCAGCAGTTCCATGCCGCGCACAAGTGCCTGAGGCCGCAGCACCTGCACCTGAGGCCAAGGCCAGCTACAGCAGCGATAATGGTGTGTTGCAAGGTTTCCAGAAGCATCACAAAGTCAAACTCCCGGAGTACCACTTGTACCGTAATTTCTACAGCAAGGATTGGGGCAACATGGCCAAAGCAGCAATGGTCAGAGGTGTGCTATCTCGACTGGGCTTGAAACTGCTTGCCTGGGGGGATACAGCAAACGACTTTCACCCTGGGAATACAAGAACACAGCAATCGATAGTGAGAAAGAAGCAAAACAGCAAATCGACAATGACGTGTCTTTCACCTTGGAAAATGGCCAATGACGCATCTTTTCAGCGCATCCTTTTCAGCTCACCCGTTGGTCGCAGTGCAGACCTGGGCAGCTAGGGTTTCGGGTTTAGGGGTTTAGGCTTTAGGGTTGTCAGGGACATTTAGGGCTTGGGGGTTTGGGTGTTGGGTTTCGGCGCGGCTTGTGGGTTTTTAGGGTTTGGGGGTGTGGGGCATAGACCCCAAAACCTATACTTTCGACCCAAGGCGAGTACTGTTTGTACACCCGGAGTCTTCGGGAGCTTGGCGGCTTTAGGTCGAACGGAAAAGGGTTTAGGAGTTCAGAGATTTGGGGCTGTAGTTAAGGGTTTAGGGTTTGGGGGGTTTGGGCTTAGCGGCTTAGGGTTTAGGGTTTGGGGTTTTAGGGTTTAGGGTTTTGGGCTTTGGTGCGCAGGGGCTTAGGGCTAAGCTGTGAGGCAGAAAATAGCTTCGGCCTGCGGTTTCACAGGTTCCTGATGCCTTTGGAACCCTACCCCCTTCGCGGCTTGCGCTTTGGGGTTCTGGCTTTGGAGCATACTTTCGCCAAGGCCGACTTCATAGAACCTTCCTAACTGGACCCTTTGGGTATGACATGTGGCTGCTAGCGAGGAGGTTCCTCACTCAGATAAAGGAAACTAGAGGTGGGGCGTTTAGGGTCTATAGGGCTTCTATAAGGCTTCTATGACGTATATATAGACCTTCTATAAGGCTCCTATAACGGTAACTGCCCGCCTGAAAATGTCCTAGAGACTGTCATACCCTAAACCCTAAACCCCAAACCCTAAACCCTAAACCGTGGTCATGCTTGCGTTGGTGTGTTGGGATGGCTTTGAGCTCAAGTGACGGCATGGGCTTCCCTCTGGGGCGATCGCCCTAGACCCACCCATCATGGTCAACCCTAAACCCCTAAACCCTCAACCCTGAACCCTAAAACCTTAACCCTGAACCCTAAACCTTATTATAAGTATAGTATAATGGGCCCCAAAACCCCATTCTAATTATTAAGGCAAAAACAACCCACCCATCATGGTCATGGCGGTATCCAAAAAGGGCCGGCGGCCCCACAAGTCACTTGGCTCATCTTGCGGAACGTAGTTCGCACAACAAGGGGCGCCTTGCATCGACCAAACCTCCCCACATGGTGACTACATGATGGGACTTTCCGAGAATTAGGGTACCTTATTTTTGGGTCCTTTTAATAAGGATCCTACTATTTAGGGTAACATGTAACTAACCTTCCAGGACCCTCCAAGTACCCTCAAATAGGGTATATGGTCCTAAACTAAGGGTATTTAGGGTCTTTAGAGGGTAGATGGAAGGTCTAGGTTAGAAGTATGGAAGTATCAAGCCCGTATAGACAGCCACTAAACCTCATATTACAGATTTTTTGCACCACCGTTCAGCCGTCAGCAGCCCCTTTTCAACAGTGAACCCTCGAGCACCAAAGCCCTGATCCCATATCCATGAGCCCTGAAACCCTGGACCCTAATCCCCAAACCCTGAGCCCTGAACTCTAAATCCAAAGCCTAACCCTAAACTTGCCCCAGACCCAGAACCCTAAACCCT